ATTTGGGTCTATGGAATTTGGACAATTTCATATAACGGAGATGTGCCAGCTGTGTGTTTTGATATATTTTTGAACCTGGTATACAGGGCGATCAAGATTTAATGCTTGGACCTGATTTTTTATTTGAGTTAAAATTTTTAATAGTTTAAAAAATTTTCTTGGTAGATAAACTTGAAAGTTTATCTATTGTTGGGACTTCCTTATACAGGGTGGTCAATACTTTTTTGTTACTTTGAAATTTTTTAAATTTCAAGGTGTTTGACATTTGATAAAGTTTGAAACTTTATATTTACAGACATTCTGGTTTGTATTTTTCCCTATACAGGGTGGACAAGCATTAAATTTTCGACTTTGATTTTTTTATATCTCTAGGTGTTTGAAATTTGATATAAATTTTAAACGTTATTCTTAGCTGAGATTACTATTTGATAATTTTACTATACTGTGTGGTCACAACTTGATCATTTTAATTTTGTTTTTGTCGATTAATTGATTGCAATTAATTTTACAAGTTTTTGTGATTATCGATAACTGTTAGGGCGAGCTGCTAAACTTACATTTAGGTTATTTTGAAAAACATAGAAGTACGTTAGGTTAATTCATCTCGTCTATTGTTCTATTTACCTTCAGGTTTCTATGCCAATGTTTTTATGCCAATATTTTATTTATTTAGTATCGCATTCACTATGTTTCATCATCTGAACCTCCAGTGTTGTCAGTTACTATCGACAGTTGCTAGACTGTCCTGTTCAAGTACTTTTTTTTGAGTTTTGTTTTTTGGTTATGACAGTTATACCAGGACTGTTATGGTGATACAGGAAGTGTATCCTTGTGTTTTTTGAGCAGTGTATGACGAGGGGAGAGGTCATATTTGAGGAATGTTTGGTACTTGTTCTGTTAAGTGATTGTTGCCGAATAACTTTTCATAAACAGACATTTATCAAGTTTAGTTATTTAATGTCAGGAGTGACATTAAATTTTTCTTCATGTTGCAGACGACACATGCGGGAGCATTTGACTGGTATTTATGGTTTACAGTTAGCACGAGGCTACTGTGAATCATTTTGGTTGTTAATGATTTTTTTGGAGACGTCCAAGATCATTAACGTGTTGTCATCATTTGACATGATGAGTGTTTGAGTTATTTGAGCGATTTAGCTTGTGACTCAAGTTTATGGAGGATTGACGTTTGACATCTCTGTTTTCGGATTCTGTTGCCTGGTTTTAATAGTTTTTACTAGATCTGATAGCCAATGCAATGTTTCCGAAGAACTATATCTGTGTCAAAACGCGTCAATAGTTTGAGTTCAGTTGGAGTTCTAGTTTTCTCTGTTTATTTGGAGAGATATTTTTTGATGACACTTGTGTCAGGTTTAGATCTTTTTGTATTGTGAGATATTTTTGTCTTGGTGACATCTATATCATTTTTAGTTTTTTTTGTGAATTTTGGCAGTGTCTGTATGGAATGTGCGTGCATAGCGAGATGATGATTGCTCTGTTTTATTAGTTTTTCCGGTTTTTAGTCCAGGTGTATTGTTTCGCGAGCAATTACACCACTTTTTTGGTTTAGAATAACCATCAGTGAGATAGTTATTAGTTTGGTTTTGCCCGATGAGTTGTCATGGAGACAATTTCATCATTTTAGTCCCTTATGTATAGTTTGGTTTAGCTCGTTAGTTTTATTTGGCCCTACAGTTTACTTGCGTTTAGCAATCGTGTGTGTTTTTTTTGAGTCTGGCTTTGAGCAGTGTCGTGTTTGACATTTTTGTGATTTTTGACTTTACAGTTTTCTGTAAGTCTTTGAGTTTGTTTGATTGTCATTTTTAGATGTATTTTTTTTAGTTTCGATCTATGGCTATGTATATCCCTCTTGGTCGTGGTTTGGGCCGTGTGGCCTGTATCCGCTCTACATGGTGGGCGAGTTGAGTGTGCTACTGGTTAGTTGCATACTCAACAGTAAAGAATAGCCATGTACGGGTTCCTCGTGACGGTAAGAGTCCGTCAAATGCCACCGTAGTATGTGGTAAGTCTCAAAACATCGAGAGTGTCGGAAATTATTTCCGAACACCTTATCCACATACTACGTATATGGTATTGCGTGTGTGGTGTTGTATGGGTGATGTTACGTATGTGGTACTACGTGAATAGTATTACGTATGTGGTATTACCTGTATAGTATTACTTTATCGTAATACCTATTTAATAGGTTTTACTTCGGTAAGTAAAACTTATATTTATTCATTTTATTAAATTGATTTGATTATTATTTTGATTTTGATTCGAGATACCTGTTAGGGTTCCGTCGCATTTGCTTGACAGGGCGTTGACCTTCCGTCTACTACCCTAGGCGATGCGTATTTTGTTTTTTTTCTCTCTGAGCTAAGGCTCAGAAGGTTTTTAGTTGTATTTTTTTATGTAGAGTCATTTTGGAGTATCGTTATAGATATGCTCTATTTATCCCATTTTATTTGATGTACACTACAGTGCATCCCCTCATGCTGACAGATGTAGGGTATTTTTTCATATTCATTTCATTTTTATCTTTCTTTACAGTTCTGTCTCTTGGTGATTATCTCTGGTTTTTGTTGTTGTTGGTTCCAGTCACTGCGTTGGAGAGAAGGGTTGAGCTAGTGCAAATTTTGTTGAGGTGTTTATGCTCGGTTAGCCTTCTTCAGCCTCTGTTGCTTTAGTCTGTAATTCCTTGTCTGACGTTGTTAGTATGATACATTCCGTTTGAGAGAAGGTTTGAGCTGGAACAGTATATTTGTCTGGTTGTCTTGGTCTTGTAGTACCGACCGTCGTCAACCTTTAACTGCTCTAGTTCATATAATTCCTTGTCTGGCGTTGTTAGTATTGTTCATTCCGTCCGAGAGAAGGTTTGTACTTGCACAGTAAATTTGTTTGGTTGTTTTGGTTTTAGGTTACCGGCCGTTATATACCTCTATCTGCTCTAGTATTGTAGCGTTCCTTCTCTGGCGTAGTTGATCTGACATGAACTAGAATGTTGGTTTCAGAAACTATCACCAAGGTTATAAACCGAGACGTATCGATACCATGAATGGATCGACGTTCTCTTTAATTATTGTTGAGTCGCATTGTTTTAGAACATAGCGTTGTTAATTTTGAGTCTGCACTTGTCTAGCCCGAGTTATCGATAATTTACACCTATATCGTTATAAAACACCTAATTATAGCAGTATTTAATCTTGCATACCATAATAGCGGATATATCTACCTCCGTATTATTTTATATTAGCAGAACAATGACTCGAGTATCTCTGTACGTTACGGCGTATCCAGTAACCAGCAGCTTTAGTAATTTTACACCTTTAAATTTTTTAAGATCTCCAGCGTCATATATTCTGAAATTTACGAAGTAGTTCTCTTCTTTTGACTTTTTTACTATTCCCAGATTTGTGAAAAAGAAAGTGTACCTTACAGGTCCATTTCTTTTCTTTTCGAAGGAGGGCAGTGTAACGTTTTTAGTTCGTTACATGTCTTTGATTATGATATATGATGTCTGGGCACAACCCTGTTATTGTTTGGCACAACCCTGTTATTGTTTGACACAACCCTGGTATCGCTCTGTGGGAGCGCGCGCTGTCAACATCGCTTCTGTCAATTCCCTGTGATCTAACTTTTTTTTTTGGTTGGACCGTTTGGCCTCTTAGACGCTATTAGTCCCAGTGTTGAGAAATGGTGGTCATTTAAATCTGGCTGTATTATCTGAATCAGCTGCCATTTCGAAGCTACAGGGTAGAGTTACGGATGTCCCAACTTGTATTTGTATTTGGCTGGCACGTTGGCGTCCCTTTGCTTTTGTCCTCCAGAATGTCATTTGGAAGAAAGAACAGATTGTTTATTATTTATTGAGCCCTCGGAAGTATTTCGAGGGTCTTACGGACGGACATTGTCTTACGGACAAGTGTCCAAGGTATGGACTATTTTTCAAGGTCCTAGTAGTGTTCTCTTGTGCCACTATCTTATGGACGGATGTCCCATGGACAAGTGTCCCCAGTAGGATTGATTTGTCTTACACATAGAGTGCCCCAGCGTGGATGTGGCTTGAGCCCCGTGCTGCTTCACCCCCATTTCTAAGCCTGGATCGCCGACAGACAGTACAGAGATGCTAGACCTCCTCCTCGCTGCTACTGTTTGAAGCAGGGTTACATAAAAGAACAGCTAAGTGTATATTTAAGTTCTAGTTTTGCATTTAACATCTAAAATGTTTTCAGTCTTAAACAGTAACGTACATTTTAAACAATAGCGTACAGACTATATTTAGTGGTTAGATTATTAAGGATATTTATGTCGATGCAGTAGTAAAAGTGTGATTTAGATTTTAGATTTCATAATATCACGCATTGTAATAGTATTACTTTCTATAGACATTATTATTACGCTATACTGACAGATGAATAACGAGATAGATTCTAGAATCTACAGGTTGCAACACATCTGATTTAAAACCGTATAAATTTAACAATTTAAATAAAGTAATGCTACTTTTCCTGTATTTTCTATAACGTTACACGCATTGTATTTTCTTTATAGTCTTTTCATAGAACGTATTTAATATTATTTACATATATAGTTTTACTCAACAAGTAACCACTATAATAATTATTAAAATTGTACAATGCTATTTACCATCAGAATTCATCACGAATAAATATAGTCATTAGTTTTAAGTATTATACAACTGTGTTTTCTTTCTCTGTACATGCCTGGCGCCCAATATCTATATATCTTTTGTTTATTATTATTGATTAATTTTCTCTCTAGTGAAATACCTTATCCACGACTGCTCTCCGATGAAAAGCTGCCGTTCGCAGTGGTAGTTGTTTAAAAAACGCTACAAGATTTAACAAATATGAGGATATCCGATCAATCAAGAAAAGAAAACTTAGATGGCTGCTTAAATATACTTAAAGCTAAATACGGTAAACTAAAATATTCTATTATCGTCTTATTAGTCCCAATAACTACTCTGTTTTCAGGTGCCAATGTAGCTGTTTTGCGAGACGAAGACAATAATTTCAGAGGACTTTTCATTCAAAGTCCAACCATGAAAAGTACAATGAAGGCTTTTCCAGAATTTCTTGCAGTAGATGCTACATATAAATTATGATGATGCAGTTGTATTTGAAACTAAAAATCAGTCTTCTCTGGAACACTCTGAGGTTTGTGACGAGACGGACCTTCAAGACAGAAACAATATGAGTGAAGCGCTCATATTAGATAATAGAAATACATCAACTCTTGGTCAGTCACCTGTGGAAGCACCTGAGTTTTGTAACGAGCTGGTTATAGAGGAGGAAATGACACGAAATGAAGCGCATCAACTTTCCTATATTAGTGATTCAGTTTTAAATGACGTCAACAACCAGTCCCATCAAATAGTTGAAGTCAATGATTTCGCTTTGACAACAATTAAGATGCCTGTTTCAATAAAAAAACGAGGACGTCCAAAAGGACAGGACTTACCAGTCATAGGACTACCAAAGAAAAAGAAAAGATGTACTGTAGCATTTGCTAAACAATCCTATCATGAAAAACAAAATGTAATCCTGGATTGCTTCGTTAAGGATCGTAATATCGTTCGAGACATCACAAATGGGAAATTTCTTGAAACTGTAGACCTATGGAGTGTAGAGGTAAGGAGAAATAACTGTAGCAAGATCCTAAAATTTAAGACATGCGCTGAACATTTTAGAACAGATGATTCAAGACATAATATTTGACGTGAAGCAAACGCGAAGCCGCGGGTTTCAAAAAAATACAATTTTATTTTCATGTTGCATGAAATAAATTACAGATTTTTATTCAACAGCAACAGACTAGGCCCTTTTTTATTGTTTCTCATAAGTTATTTCGCAAATATCATTCAAGACGACGAAAAAATATTGTGATCGTTTTAGTTTAAAATTAATGTTAATTATAATTAACACAGATAACATAAGATTATGTTATCTGTGATAATTAAGAAAACTTTAAAGTAATAATAATTGGTGATGGGTTTTAAATAAATATAATGCAGCTTTAAAATAACTCCATACATTTATTTTGTATAAAAGTCAATATGTGTGTGTGTGTGTGATTTTATTATCAATTATTCAGAAGCAATAGACTGGGCATCTTTTTTTATTGTTAACTGTTCGCAAATCTCACACAAGATGAAAAAACTTTAGCTTAAAATTAATGTTAATTATAAATAGGAAAACTTTATTTAGTAATTAATTGATGATATAGGATTTAAATAAATATAATGCAGGTCGAAAATAACGTAATATATTTTATTTAGTATAAAAATTAAGCCAATATAATTTAATTTTATACTGTAAAAGTATTTATTTACATTTTGCCATCGCAGTTGCCATTCATTCAGAGTAGTGGATTTTTAATGTTTGATAGTCCGATGGCTTAACTACCATAACATCAACTAGTTCTAGACAAGAATCATGCAGTATTATCAGCTGTTTTACTCCCAGCTATTCCAACATGGCTTGGGACGTGAAATAATATAATTTTATGGCCCTTCCAGATCCTCATGTCTTCCTTTTGTAGTTCACCCAATAGAGTCGTTCTCTCAGCTTCCTCTCAAGTTGGTAGTTTCCATTCATTCAGAATATGTTTGGGTAGTTGGATGGTTAACTATCGTAACATTAACTACTTTTAATAATTCTTTTTGTAAATTCTTTGCAGTATAGCTTACATCCCACATATTGTAATTTTATCCTTTGAATTTCGTTTCCTATTAGATCAATAGTGCTTAAGTTTAATGATGACTTAGCAACAGCGTTAAGTACACATTTTTCAAGCTGCTTTGTGAGCTCAAATCAGTCATTTGATGCGTAGAGGAATCCTTCATATAAATTCATTTTATTTATCAAATCATTCCCTACCTGTAGTTCGCCGTCAGTCTTATTTGATATTAAGGTTTTAAAGCAATCCTTACATATTATTCTTTTTAACTGGTAGTACCATAGACTTAAAATAAAATATAGACTACACTATTTACATCTCAACGCGGTCAAACAATCTTTTTTGTACACATGTTTACTTCTGGGTACAGTTTGGTACAGTCGACCGAGCCTTCCTCATCCAGCCTATGTTGTCACGTCTTTAATATTATTAATATTTTTTTTCTTGTTATACACATATATTGAGATATTAATACTACAGTTTAATAAAGTAGGTTTTAATATTCCATAGATGTATTGTAGCGTTTTTTAAACAACTACCACTGCGAACGGCAGCTTTTCATCGGAGAGCAGTCGTGGATAAGGTATTTCACTAGAGAGAAAATTAATCAATAGTAATAAACAAAAGATATATAGATATTGGGCGCCAGGCATGTACAGAGAAAGAAAACACAGTTGTATAATACTTAAAACTAATGACTATATTTATTCGTGATGAATTCTGATGGTAAATAGCATTGTACAATTAATATAATTATTATAGTGGTTACTTGTTGAGTAAAACTATATATGTAAATAATATTAAATACGTTCTATGAAAGACTATAAAGAAAATACAATGCGTGTAACGTTATAGAAAACACAGGAAAAGTAGCATCACTTTACTTAAATTGTCAAATCTATACGGTGCCAAATCAGATGTGTTGCAACCTGCAGATTCTAGAATCTATCTCGTTATTCATCTGTTAGTATAGCGTAATAATAATGTCTATAGAAAGTAATACTATTACAATGCGTGATATTATGAAATCTAAAATCTAAATCACACTTTTACCACCGCATCGACATAAATATCCTTAATAATCTAACCACTAAATATAGTCTGTACGCTATTGTTTAAAATGTACGTTACTGTTTAAGACTGAAAACATTTTAGATGTTAAATGCATAACTAGAACTTAAATATACACTTAGCTGTTTTTTAACTCCCTGTTTCAAACAGTAGTGAAAGGAGGTGGTCTAGTATCTCTGTACTGTCTGTCGGCGATCCAGACTTAGAAATGGGGGTGAAACAGCACGGGGCTCAAGCCATCTCCACGCTGGGGCACTCTATGTGTAAGACAAATCAATCCTACTGGGGACACTTGTCCATGGGACATCTGTCCATAAGATAGTGGCACAGGAGAACACTACTAGAACCTTGAAAAATAGTCCATACCTTAGACACTTGTCCGTAAGACAATGTCCGGGTCCGTGTCTTCAAGAACACGAAACTCTTTGTTTAAAATCAAACACCGTCTAATAAACAAAGTGAACCTACCTCGAAATACTTCCGAGGGCTCAATAAATAATAAACAATCTGTCCTTTCTTCCAAATGACATTCTGAGGACAAAAGCAAAGGGACGCCAACGTGCCAGCCAAATACAAATAAAGTTGGGACATCCGTAACTCTTCCCTAAAAATATTCAATAATAATAATATCGAATCTAAAAGGATAATATCTCATCTTTACCTGTTACCTTTGAAATAGCAGCTGATTAAGATTATACAGCAAGATTTAAATAATCACCATTTCTAAAAGCTGGGATAAAACAGAGCGTCAAAACAAATTGAGGTTAAGCACGGAGAGTTGACAGCAGTTGACAGCGCGCGCCTTCACAGAACAGTGAAACGAAAGCAGGGCTGCCGACTAGAGAACGTAAAAATTACGCAGGGAACGTAAAAATTACGCGTCAAATAATCTATCCGGGCCTGAACGAGAGGGAATCCGGTGATGATAGGCCAGACATCATATATTATATATAAAAAAGAGCATGTAACGAACTAACGTTACACTGCCCTCCTCCGAAAAGAAAAGAAATGGACCGGTAAGGTACACTTTCTTTTACACAAATCTGGAGATGGCAAAAAATCAAAGAAAACCACATCGTAAATTTCAGAATAGACGAAACCCATTTGAAAATTGATCAGGTTCTCAAAAAGGAAACGGCAAATCAAAAAAAACGACAAATACCGGTAAAGAATATATGACGCAGGAGATAAAAAAACCAAAGGTTTAAAATTACTAAAGTCAGTGGTCACTGGATACGCCGTAAAGCACAGAGATACTCGAGCCACTGTTCGCTAAAATAAAAAAATAAATACGGAGGTACATCTGCTAGTATGGTACGCAAGATTAATAAATATTTCTATAGTTAGTGTTTTATACCGATATAGGTGTAAATTATCGATAACTCAGGCTAGACAAGTGTAGACTCCAAAATACGCTATGTTTTAAAACAACGCGACTCAACAATAATTAAAGAGAACGTCGATCCATTCATGGTATCGATACGTCTCGGTTTATAACCTTGGTAATAGTTTCTGAAACCAACATTCTAGTTCATGTCAGACCAACTACGCCAGAGAAGGAACACTACAATACTAGAGCAGATAGAGGTATATAACGGCCGGTAACCTAAAACCAAAACAACCAATCAAATTTACTGTGTAAGTACAAACCTTCTCTCGGACGGAATGAACAATACTAACAACGCCAGACAAGGAATTATATGGAACTAGAGCAGTTAAAGGTTGATGACGGTCGGTACTACAAGACCAAGACAACCAGACAGATATACTGTTCCAGCTCAAGCCTTCTCTCAAACGGAATGTATCAAACTAACAACGTCAGACAATGAATTACAGACTAGAGCAACAGAGGCTGAAGAAGGCTAACTGAGCCTAAACACTCAACAGAATTCACAGTAGCTCAACCCTTCTCTCCAACGCAGTGACTGAACCAACAACAACAAAAACCAGAGATAATCACCAAGAGACAGAACTGTAAAAAAAGATAAAATGAAATGAATGTGGAAAAATAATACCCTACATCTGTCAGAATGAGGGGATGCACTGTAGTGTACATCAACTAAAATGGGATAAATAGAGCATATCTATAACGATACCCCAAAATGACTCTACATAAAAATAATAATTAAAAACCTTCTGAGCCTTAGCTCAGAAAGAAATAAAAACAAAATACGCATCGCCTAGGGTGGTTCTTTTACGTATTGCTGGAAGACTTTTACTGTTGAGGTATGTAACCAACTTAGCAGTACCCAAATCACCACCATGTAGATGCTATTACGGGCCATTAATACCCAAACTACGACCATAAAAGTAGGTTGTGAATATAGCTATTAGATCGAAACTAAAAATACATCTAAAATGAAATCAAATAAACTCCTGTGGATTCTGCAGAAAACTGTGGTGCTTCAAAACGCAAAATGTCAAAGTCAATGACACTGTCGCTTAGACCTTAAAAAATACTACTAAATTAAGCAAATCTTCTGTAGGGCCAAATAAAACTAACGAGCTAAACTAAACTACAGTGGACCAAATAGATAAATTAGTTCCCTAAGGGACAACCTTATCAGGTTAAAATAAACTAACAACTATCTCAATGACAGTTATTCTAAATTGAAAAAGGCGGTAAACGCTTCCTCGCAAAACAATACACCTGGACTAAAACCAGAAAACTAAGGCAAACAGAGCACCACTATCCTGCTATGCACGCTAATTAAGAAACTCTGCAATGACTGCATATCCTGCATAATTTCAAATCTGCTAAAAAAATCAAATCGATATAGGGATGTCCCAAGACAAAATATTACCCCAATACAAAGATCTCGAAATATGATATGGCGCAATATCAAAACAAAATATCTCCAAAAATAACGAGAAAACGAACCTAACTAAATCCCTTAACTCACGACGCGCCTTTCGATAGATATAGTTCTTCGAAATACTGTAATTTTACCGTGGATCTAGTAAAACGCATTAAAACCAGGCAATGAATCCGAGCGTAGCGCCCGCCGCTAAAACGTCAATCCTCCATAAACCCGAGTCACAATGCTAAATCGCTCAAACAACTCAAAAACTCATCATGTCAAATGATGACAACACGTTAATGATCTTGGACGTCTCCAAAAACACACCAGCCCATATGAAAATCCTGCTATCCGTGAATCCATAATACGAGAAAATGCCTACAACGTGGTAAGTACGTCTGCAAGATCAGGCAGAAATGTCCTCCGGTTATTTCAAAATCACTAAACGGTAAATACGTTCAGCCAGAAAAGTTATCTGCATCCAATGGTAATAGAATAGTACGTAAAACATTCCTTTCTGACATGTACATATGTGACAGCCGCTAAAAGAAAAACAAAACGATACCATTGCATTAGCC